ATAATAAATTCCTTAGAATATTTACATTACTGTACAATACCAACTGTCCAATAAAGCAATATAGTAGGAAACAGAAATATATGGACTGTCCATGGATAACAAAAGGTCTGCAAAATGCATGTATAAAGAAAAATGCTCTATACAGAGAGTTCTTAAGAACGAGAACTAAAGATGCTGAAATCAGATACAAAAGATATAAAAATAGGTTAACTAATATACTTAGATTTAGTAAAAAGGAATACTATAAGAAGCAATTAGATATAAATAGAAATAATAATAAAAGATTATGGGAAATCCTGAACAGTGTTATAAAATGTGGGACTGGACAAAAGAACTATCCCAAGTATTTCATTTGTAATGACCATGAAGAATACAATATGGATGTTGTGGCAAATAGTCTCAATGAATTCTTTGTAACTGCTGGACCAAATTTAGCAAGAACAATCACTCATCCTGGGAAAGCACAGGAAAAACCCGATACACTGATTGACAGAAATCCATATTCTATGTTTCTCACAGCCGTTGATGAAAATGAAGTTCTTGAAATTGTCAAAAAATGTAAAAATCACAAATCTTTGGATTGTAATGATATTGATATGATAGTGGTTAAAAGAGTCATTGAGGCTATTATAAAACCATTTACATACATCTGTAATTTATCATTTCAAACTGGTCGATTTCCAGACAGAATGAAAATAGCAAAAGTTATACCTCTATACAAATCTGGAAACAAACACCATTTCACAAACTACAGGCCTGTCTCTTTACTACCTCAATTCTCAAAAGTTCTTGAAAAACTGTTTAAAAACAGACTGGAAAAATTTATAGATAAACATAAACTACTCACTGAGAGTCAGTACGGATTCAGATCAAGCAGATCAACATCATCGGCACTATTAGATTCAATAGAATACATCACAAATTCCATAGACAAAAAGCAATATGTGGCTGGGTTATTCATAGACTTGACAAAGGCATCTGACACTATAGATCATGATATATTAATAAGAAAACTGGAACGTTATGGTGTCAGAGGGGTAGTTTTAGATTGGGTCCGGAGTTATTTAAGTGACAGAAAGCAGTTTGTGAAAATAAATGGTGGTTGCTCCTTATGTATGGACATTGCTTGTGGTGTACCCCAAGGGTCAGTTTTGGGTCCAAAATTCTTCAACTTGTACATTAACGACATCTGTAAAGTGTCCAAAGTATTAAAAATGGTTCTCTTTGCTGACGATACAAACATTTTTTGCTCTGGTGATGATCTGCAGAATTTATTGGAGGATATGACTAATGAAATAAGTGAAGTTCTGGCTTGATAAAAACAAATTATCATTAAATTTGAATAAATCTAAACTTATGTTATTTGGAAATAGTAGTTTAAATACAAATGCAAAGATTCAAATAAATGGTGTTGATATTGAAAGAGTCAGTGAAAATAAATTTCTGGGGGTAATAATAGATGAAAAACTTAACTGGAGAGCTCACGTAAGATATATTCATTCCAAAGTATCACGAAGCATTGCAGTACTAAACAAGGCAAAACAGGTATTCGACAGAACATCACTTCATATTCTCTACTGTTCACTGGTTTCACCATACTTAAGCTATTGTGCAGAGGTCTGGGGCAATAACTATAAAACCACATTACATTCACTTTTTACTCTTCAAAAGAAAGCAATTCGAATCATCCACAATGCAGGTTATAGGGAACATACAAACTCACTATTTTTGCAGTCTGAAATATTGAAAATTGACGATATAGTGAAATTCCAAACAGCACAAATTCTATTCAAAGCAAAAAATAAAGAACTGCCAGGTAATATTCAGAGTATGTTTTTTTTGAAAGAAGGAAGTTATAATTTAAGGGGTTTTTGTAACTTCAAAACAATGAAGGTACGTACTACAAGAAAAGGCTTTTGTGTTTCTGTTCAAGGAGTGAAACTATGGAACAAACTGAATATGGAATTAAAGCAATGTCCAAACATAAAACTGTTCAAAAAGAGTTATAAAAATATGATCTTCTCGATCTATAAAGAAAAGGAAAATATTTAAATTAAGTGAATGTCTCTATTTAAAAACAAACAAACAAAAAATCCATGATGTGATATTATAGAATATAGTATATCAGAAATCTGTTCACTATTTTTATTACAAATTATATCAGTAAGGAAGCTGACTAAATATTCACTGATAATTTATGGGACAGGGGTGGGATTAAATAAGTGTATACTTCTTCCCACTCCCTTTCAACATGTAAATTAATCAGAATGTTTTTTTTTTATGTAATTTGTATAGTATATATTTTTTCTCTCATTTCTTTTCTAAATGTACTTGTATATTGTTCACATGTTGAAATAAATTACCAATCAATCAATCAAAGAATCTCACTGAAGATTTTTTTTGGGGGTTCTGAGTTGTACCCAGTTCTCATGACCAGTGATCATTCTAAATATGAAGGTTAGATCAGAAAAAGAAACTGAGGTTTGCTGTTTGTGCAACCGTGAAGTAGGTGGTCAAGAGGTGAATGAGGACGCAACTTAAAAAATTTAGTCAGTCAAATGATTTCTTGCTTTTGTTGCTAGAGCTGCAGAATTACACATGGCTACCAACCTCTGAGGGTGTTTTTAGTCATCTGGCCTCTGGTTGTGCAGCGTCTTTGGGTCCTCTGGGTTATTAGGAGAATTCTTGTTTCTTGTTCTGGTGCTTGTTTAGTTTAAATCTTGGAATTTGGGAGCAAAGTAAAAATTCTGGACTTTGTGTCAAGTTGTTCTTATGCACTTTTGGTGGTGAGGTACAGCACATTTTGTGCCTGGTCTGAAATTGTGTTTAGGTGGGCTATGGAATAAAGCCAACAGCTACAAAAATGCCAGGGCTCAGAGTGTCCCAGCAAAGCATTTTATTCTGATAAAATGTTGAAAAACTTTTGTCACCGGTCACTGGTTTTGATATTTTGGCTGCTGAGTGTATAATCTATATAAAATGATACAGCTGCCAACATATGCATAATGTTTGGGCAACATTATATTATAGTTACATATGTCTACATTTTGTCCAGCCTGAGAAAAAGTTCAGGATGTACAAACATTTTCTTTTGAGTGACTGAACGAGACACGAAGAAATACCCAACATGATTATAACATTATCTAATTGCATCCCAACACATGAATTATTCAGCTCCTGACAATGCAATATTGTCATGGAAAGGAAGAGATGTTTGTGTTAAGCTGCCACTGGCACTACTTTTTCCCTCTCTTCTTACAAAACAAAAACTTTTTTCCAAGGGCGTCATTGCAAAGCGATAATAAAAGGAAGAAAAATAAATAAAATAAAGGGCAATCATTTTGAAGCCTGCAACACCACTGTGTGTTTGTGTGTGTGTAATTCATATTGTTCTTGTTAGGCAATTATCATTTTTACAATGCCAATGGTGACCATTAGTCTGTAAGGGAGCATTCCTTGCCCTTGTCACTCTGAGAATGACTGGCCCCACATGTCTTACTCTGTACTAAAGCCACCTTCACCTCTTGCCTGATATGTGGTCTACCAGTGGTCAGCTTGAGAACAGCTGATTGGCTTGTCCAGCCATAGATATTCCAACTCAAGCAGCACTGGTGTCCTGCTGTATGATGAAACACTATAGCTAACTTTGACCACAGAGAATGTTCCTGCATACTTGTATTATAATAATAAAAAACGTTAGAAAGATCAAAAGGAGTGAAATGATATTCTCTACTTAAACAAAGAATTAATGGCAAATGCCTTTAGTTTTGTTTTTGCAATTCACATCAAATGTGCAAAAATTATATTTGCTAAATTATACTAAATTGATTGAATTTCCCACACCTTTCTGCTTTTAGACACTCGACATTTTCACGTGGTATCATTTTTAAAATTGAATGTGCCAAAGCAAAACTAAATAAATAAATTGTGTAACTGTGCAAATAGCTACAGTTCGTTGTGATGGTTTAGTTAAGAATATGTTAAATGGCGTGCTTGAATACTCAAGCGATTTTATACATTAAAAGGTTTAATTCATGCTCTGAGGCAAATATGTAGCAAGAAGATTTTACTGAAAAGGGGGGTTTACTTAATGATGTCTCCCTCAACTGGAAAGCAAAGAGGGCGGTGCTCTTTACTACCATATGCCAGACACACAGACAGGCAGGTCGACAGTTATGAAGACAGATGAATGATGCAACGCCTTCAGCACTGAGGGAAATGAGATCAGATGTTGACAGCTAGATCGACAGATCCCTGGTCTGGCATTCAAATGTTTTCTCACATCTCTTATTGCATGGTTCATGAATGGATACACTCTACAAGATAAGACATACTGTAACTGGCCTATCTGTAAATAAATGCTTTGCTTTTTTCCCTTTGCTCTATTATACATGCTGTATAATATACCTGAGTTTAGCATATGTGCAGTACAGCAGGTTGCCCTCAGATAAACGCTTCACAAGCAATAATCTTCCTGAAGACCTGAAGTCTTTGGTGTCAGCCGCCATGTTAAAAAACTGCATCGTGTAGGCCTATTTCATAATTCATGTACAACTCAGCCAGCATTTATAAATAAGTTCTAAGGTGCTGAAGCCTGTGAGGGAATATAACACATATTAATCGACCTCCAGAATTGTCAAAGGTGTTTCTTCTCTTATCTTTCATTCTCATTTACTTTGTTTTATTTGCAGTATAGCATAGGCCCCTCTCTCCTGATGATTCTTACAGCATTTTAAAATACAAATAGACATGATATAAATAACCCAATATAAACAAAATCTAGTCTGTCATGGGAGAGCAGTCCTATGCGACAATCTGCCCGAGGCCATCATCAGAATACCATACACCTAACAGCAGAAGCGAACCAGTAGGTGGCAGTGGCGTCCCATTTGCAAGATACACATGGGAGGAATCTGTCTGTCTCTGCACTTAAGCTAAATCTCTCTCTCTCTTTCTTCCTCTCTGTCGCTTGCTTGCTTGCTCGCCTGCTGGATGTTTTCTGCCACGCACGCACACACTAATAAACAACTATTTGTGTTTGTTTCCCCCTTTTTTAAACTGACCAGTGAATAAAAGGGGCGATGGTAAAGAATCGGTTAATGAATGCCAGTCTTCAGGACGACATGAACGCACACGGTGAAATTTTAGAAGCTGTAGAAGTTCAAAGAGAGCACCATGAAGACTGAAAGAGAGGGAAAACAATATCTCCTGCCCTCGCTGCTCCAGTCCTGCGGTTGACGGCAGAGTCGATCCACCAGCAGTGACTGGCGGAACAGTCTCAGTTGGAGAAAGCAGCTTGTCAGTGGGAGGTAACCTACATGATGCCCCCTCCTGAACTTATCAATTCATCGTCCGTCCGTGCTGCGCCCGGCGTTTTATTTTGGTACGAAAATGCTGAGCGCACTGAGGCACTGTAAAGCGCACCGATGGATACAGCCTGCTTGCACGTCTTGGAACGGGTTATTTTGTGAAGCAGCCTAAAACACACGGCAGTCTACAAGAGAGAGAGAGGAAGCCTGGACTTGGACAACCACCCATTTGTGGATAATAACCCTAAAAAAAAATTAAACATTAAATAAAAAAAACCTTACCCCGGTGTGTGTCACATCAATGGAGAGGCGAGGGTCGAATATCCGAAATATACAGCGGGGGCGCAGAAGTGATGACAGCCTTTGATGAACCATAACTCCCGTCCAGACAAGGTGAGATCAAAGCTCCGTTCGGAAAACATGTAAGAATAGAGCTTTTGGTGTATAACGAAGGCTCTTCACACTTGGGAGCCGCTGCCTGAATTTGTGATGGGGTTTTAAAGGCTTCTGAAGGATACCGCCTGGAATTTTTTCTTCCGATGCTGCATCCCAGAATAACGAATTTCCCTCTTAAATATGGAGAACGGAGCAATCTGAAGAGAGAGATTATCTCTAATCGTGACAACTTTATCACTTCTCCAACCTACAGGATACCCTTTCAATCACTGTACTGCGGAACTTCTTTTTATCGGTAAAACCAGGAGGGGGAAGAGAAATAAGCATCTTGAAATCCGCACTGGGCTGTGCGGTGAAATTTAATCAGGGCTGATAGCTAAGAAGCAATAGGGACTTGATGAAAAGTTACATTTGACACGTAGGCGAGCAGTCGGGTTCTTAAAATAACCCCACCTTAACAGCTCAACGTGTGGATGATGGTCTACCGTAAGGTCTACATGAAAGGCTTTAAGAGCATATTATTGATATCAGAGAGAAAATAAAAAGTCGTCACTTGGAGAAAATTTTGGACCACAGTGGGCATCGCTTTGCCACGAGTTGTTTCAACAATGGCACTTGTGGGTGCCTTCTGAAATGTGCGTCTTGAAAAGGGAGGAAATATCGGATGCATTATCATCACTGTGAGAGTTAATTGCATTGCATCCGGACTAATGTTTGGATTACATACAAAGTCGTGTTGAGACGTGGAAGAAAATGAGTGTGAAAAGCAAAGGTAACAAAGGATTCTCCAAAACTGCCTGAGTATTGCGGATTTTTTTTTTTCGATGCAGTTTTTGCGGAGGCAGCGGAAGAAGAGCTGTTCTTCGCCGGCGGAGATCTTCCAGACCTTGGCATTTCTCTGTAAATAAGTAAGTTATTGTTTATAATGTACTGGGAGGGAAAGCATATTTCTAAATGTCTTACTATTCTCTATAGTATAACTATCCTATTCAGCCCTTTCGCTCTGTTGGATGTCAAAATGCGGAAGTTTATCTTCGCTGTTTGATGATTGATATGTACAAAATCAGCACGCAGCGCTCCCGAGGTTTTGCCATTTATATTACTTATACTGCGATCTCTAACGAAGAGATATTTAATTGTAGGGTGATTCAGAGCATCATGGAATGACGCGCGCTTTCGCATTGGTGTGCTTGTTTTAACTGCGCGTCTTCGAGTGCGCAGTATCAAGATTAGATGTCTTAAACTCTTAAAAGAAAAAGGGAGAGACCGATTTGAGCCTCTAAATTAAACAGGTAAAGAAGAATCTTTGTGAATGGAAGTGCACTTAAAGCATCTGATTTTGGTTTTTCACACTGTAACGTGACTAAACGGGGACACGCCACCTGCAATCCCTACACCCGCCTATCAATCCATCCAGTCTGTACTTCTGTGCGCTCAACCTACTTTCAGTATAGGAAAGTCTGCCATGTTTTAGCACGTGTTCTTGTACGCTACAGCAACCGCGAAAAATACTTAACATGACCCAAAACATGTTCAAGTTAGATTTGAAAATCCAAGCTTTGGATGACCTAGCTGACGATTGATTAATGACCAAATATTGTGTTTTCTTCCTCTCCACCCTCCCCCTTCTTTTCTCGGGGTCCCTTACACAAAAAGCACTTGTTCACCGCCCTCCGTGGTAGCCGGAGAGGGAGCTGTCCTTTCTCCTGGTGCTGAAATTAAAAGTGGCGGCAGTCACTCATCCTCTACTCAGCTGGAAAAGGCATAGATGTTATAGATAATGGCTCAAGAATCACAACCACTAAAAAGGCTGAAGAATATCCTTGACTGTGTGCAACTAAGCAACAGATGTGATATTGGCGAAGTTCATAGCATTTCATGTGGCACAACATGTTTTGTAAATCATTTTGTAATCTGACTCATTTTACCTGCTCCTCGAATTAAAGATTAAACATTTTATTAAAGTATCAACCCCAGCACATATACATACACCACACCCACAACTCATAAAATATGCAGATAAGTACATGAAGTGCCACTGGTTGTGTGTTATGTTGGTGGTGGGCTTAAAAATAGATGTTTGTCAAGAAGGTGACAAACCAGTGTTGGTGGTAAAAGCATAAATAGAGGTGGCTGTCACTCTTGAGACAAAGAATAAATTGCATCTCTCACCTGTGAAAGTGAGAAACATGGCAGACATTATTCACCCACTTGAAAGGAAAGCCCTCCATATGATGGAGTGGCATCACCTTGGGGAGACAAATTAGACTGCTGATTTTATGTTTTTGCCCTGTCAGAGGCTTATGCAAGATAAATCCCCCCTACATTTTCCCAAGTTTGCTGATGTTTGTTGGCAGCTGGTACAGAGTGATTCATAGTAATAAGCAGAGAGACTCTTCCTCCTCCCCATTTAACACTACGCAAACCTTTTTTTCATCCCCGTGGAGATTTTCTTGGAGAGGGAAATGGGTTGTAGCTATGGGTTGTAAGGATCCAGCCAAAATAAGGAGCAAATGGGTTTGAAACTGACTGATTCACTGGGCCACTCTGGATTAGTGCTTGTTTATTTCACTACACTAGATGGACAACAACTGTATCTCCAGTGTGTCCCTATTAGTCCTTCTAAACAGTAGGAAATAGCCTTAGAGCAGGTGCAACTCAGGGACCAAGTGGGACTTTCCGCTGCTCACACAAATCCAGTCTTCGGCTGATGATGTTTCTACCATAGACATCTGTTTCATGTCCAATTTTTCTAGCCATTGTTGTCTGACTTATCTATTGAAAATCATTCCAAGCAGCCGCGTCAGAAAATTAATGAACTTGTCATCTGGGAAAGGGCACCATTGCAATAAGGTGCCAGGGTCTTGCAAAGCGACAGGCTGTATACCCATGTTCCCTCCCCACACTCCCTTTGTCATTTTTCCCCTCCTCAGCTTGTGACTCAGTTCAGATCAAGGCCAGCACTGTGTGCCTTATAATAAAATGTTCATTTTTCAAATCGGATTAATCTCTGTAAAGCCTGGCTTAGGACACCATTAGCATTCATTTCTTTCACTGCCGGGGACTTGTATCAATAATGGAACTACCCCTACATTTTTCATCTTCTCTGGGTATAAAATCTCTCAGGGGGTTTCATTCAGTGAGAAAGAGAACAGTTACAGTGATCCGTTATCTACTCCCTTTTGTATTGGAAACCAGCAGTGCAATGCTGGGGGTCTTGAGTGCTAGGCTAGATAGGAGCTGAAAGCCATAATGCTGGAGGTGAAAGGAGCCTTCATACGAAGATGATGTTGATAGATATGGTATAATTAATTATAATAATAATGGACTCAAGCTAAAACCATATACTTGCAGTAATAATTAATTGTGCTCTTAGCTTACGGTACATTTGGATTTTAGTATTGTGAATGTATTTTTATTAAACACCCCGTTGAGCATAACTATACATAGTGGCACAGGGTTTATGGCAATATTATATCCACATAGATATTATATTAGAGAAACTTGTAAGTGTGTGGAGCTCGAGAATAGGACAGAGGCAGCAAAAATATATTTTGAAGCTGTTGGAAGTGCATGTCTAAAATCCACAGTCATGGCTGATGACTGCAGATTTTAGACATGTGGGTGTGACATGTTGATTAATCATGCATAGCTGAAGAGGTAGGCGAGAAGAGAGTCACCTTAAAGGAAACATCTGAAAGATGCTTTCATAAGCCAGCGGTGGATTACTACTAATGTGATGGCTACTGACACAGTGTTGCAAATCTGCATCTTATGCAGCTATTGTGAGTGTGATAAAGAAGCTAACCTCAGTTTCTTCTTCTGGATGACGCATGTAATCTTTTGAAGAGAGTGCTGTGGTAAAATGTGGGAATTTGTCACAGTTTTGTCACTGTAAGTGCACTATATCAGTGGGTTCCTCATGTAGTCGTTACAGTACTCTACCACTGTGGAAGATCATCTGAACCTGAGATTTCTTTTTTATCAACTAGACACAAGCAAGCATCTTGGGCACAGCACAGCACACATGCACCATGAATGGTATCTGCAGCAGCCCTGCTCATTAGTCATCCTTTCCTGCATGTCTGTCTGAATGTTCTGTCCAAAAGAAAGAACAGCTGAGCAGGGGGACGGCCACAGCACATTCCACCATCCGATGGATTAATCAATTGGTGTTCCAGCTCAGCCCATCCAGCTCAGCCCATCCAGCTCAGCCCATCCATCTCAGCGAATAATCTGGGAGACATCATAAAAGTGCCATTCTATCATTCTAGAGGTCAGAGAGCATTGCTTCTTTTTTTCTGTCCCGGCTCCCACTCACATCGTGGGAACACTAGTAGACTGAATGAAATGTAGATAAGTGTACTCGGTGTGGCAACATTGTGCGGTGTTTGCTGGTGTTTTGAATCAACATAGATTCAAACATTTTTGCTACTGTGATTCATGGCTAATAAAGAATTCTTTCAACTCCATCACAATTGCTCTGATTCGTTGCTTCCCTTGTAAAATTCAGCTAAGAGCACTGACCTGAATTCAGGATGCGTCATTACTCACCGCTTGCCTTACATCACCCACCTTACCAGTCATGATGATGGTGTCTTTTCGACTTAGTAATCCTCACCTTCCTCTTCACTGCCAGTTTCTCTTTTCTTGACCTCACTGGAATGTCACATGCTACTAAAATGAGAGTGACAGCACCCGAGGTAGGAATGATGTGATGACTCGGTTAATAATATCTTGCTTAATAAGTACAGGGCAAACACAGACACATTCTTTCCCTCTTTCTTTCGCTGTCACACACATGCATGTGCACATGCACAGATACACACACTTCCACAGCAAATTAATATGTATGCACCACAGAGGAGTCATTCTTCCTGTCTTCAGGGCAACTGGGCAGTGTCTGTTTAAAGTGATACTGGCCCTGGCCTCCACATTAATTCTTGCTCTTAAATTAAAAGGTTAAATGAGGTGGGAATGGGTGCCAGGCTATCTCTTTCTCCCTCATTTTACTTTTCTCCAGAATCTGCCTTATGGAGGTATGGATATCTAAGTATTGTTTAAAAAAAAAGACAAAAATTAAATTGACAGCAGGTTATAAAACAAGACATTTCCCCTCAAGTGCTGTTTCCTCAATCTTTTGCTGTTGACAGTGGAATTTAAGAGTGAGCTTTGTGTGCTGGGGGCTTCATACCCTGTGCTCTAAACACTCAAAGTTAAAAACATTTGAACTGGAGATATGCCCTTCAAACAGGTTTTTAGTGGTCGCATAGCAACAGATCCATGACTAGCACATCCCAAGGCAGCTTCTAAGCTGTTAACTAAAACACAGGTTGTCAGTGGACACCAGCTTTTAGTGACAAAACTAAAATCTAAATTTGATACGGTCGGATGTTTTAAAATTAAACACCACAATTCTGTCTTTCTTCACTTTCTTAACAAGGTTTTGTAATATGCAGCCTGAATCCTGTTAGCATAATCAATCTGAAAGAGGATGATGAATGGTGGAAAAGCCATGTCTATATGGTTGCAAGTGTTTAGCTTTAAACATATACTGTTTTTGAGATTAAAAAATATATATTTATTTGACGGCTCTCTGCGGATAGGAGGATTTTTTTGTCTGGATAGTGTTGTGTCCTTAGAAATAGCAAGCTTTATCTGCTGGGTAGATGCACAGATTTTGTATCTCACTCTCCAAGACAGCAAAAATAGCACTTAACTAGGGGCCCCTTATTTTTACCCTTATTGTAGTTTTTGGAGTCCCCAGGTGAAAGCATCAAAGCATAGGAAACCTGGAAAAAGAAAGCAATGACACAATAAAAGAAAAAAAAGATTCAGCTGTTGGAACATAAATGACTTATATGGAAGAGAAAAAAAATCTACAACAAAAAAGTACAACACGGTGCCCAAACAAGCAACAACATATTCTGGCCACTGAACATAAGCCTGTTGATTCACTGACTGATAAAAGGTTATATTTTTAACATTTAATAAGCTCTTTGAAGCATAAGCTGTTTGCACACCATTACATGCAAAATCTAAACTGGTTGATTTGTCCTCAATGGCCATGCATGTGAATTTTGATTATCAAATGGATTCTCTGTAGATTTTTGCTTAGCATATGTATGTGTGTGAAACCACATGCAGGTGCCTTTCAAAACTAGTGTCTTCTGCAGACCCAGGAGTGCAGAAAGAGTGCCTGGGATCTGGACATCTGGGTCTAGCTTTGCCGTCTGTCTCTCAGATCAGCTTTTTAACTCATAAGCTCAGTCGGGCTGGCAATCACATGGTAGCTCAACTGAGATCCGCAGCAGGAGTCTGGTCATCAGTCAAAGCCCCACAATACAACACAGCATGGTCACACACCAGTTAGTCGTCTCATTGTTAGACTTTCAAGTTATACAGACATTGCATCTTTGATCATTCAAAAACAAGCTATATATATAACATGTGTTGCTGACAACTCAAATTCAAATTCAAATTTTATTTGTCACGTACACAGTCATACACAGTACGATATGTAGTGAAATGCTTGGACAACTGCTCGTGACCTAAAGAAAACAAAAAAAGGAAAAGGCTATGAATAAGATAGGAAATAAATATGAACAATTAAAAAGGGTAAATTTAACTAGGAAGGAATAAAATATAAATTAAGGTTAAAAATGAAATAACTGTACAACACAAATTAGAACGAAGGGTAAATTTAACTGGGAAGAATAAGATAAAGATAAATATATAAATTAAAGTTGAAAATAAAATAACTGTACAACAAAATACACAATACACAATATAGAACTATATAAGAATGTATGAAGAAATCTAAATATAAATAAATATATACACAATAACAGCAGCTGTACAAGTATTAACCGGAAATGAAGAATATAGTGACCAGTGTTGTGCAAAACCAAAGTCCAGAAAGTCCAGTGTGTGTGTAAGAACTGTATGTGTGGGTCAGTACTGTGTGGTGGTGTGATTGAGAGACCGTATCGCCTGCGGGAAGAAGCTCCTCCTCAGTCTCTCTGTGTTGGTCTTCGGGTAGCGGAATCGCTTTCCTGACCTCAACAGAGAGAACAGTCTGTTGTTGGGATGGCTGAGGTCCTTCACGATCTTCTGGTTGGGAAACGTTGTGATAGTCTTTGTCTCCACGGTATCATCCGCTAGTTGTCTTTGTCTTTGTCTTTGTCTTTGTCTCCACGGTATCAACTCTAGCACCTTTAAAGATACTCTTATACTCTTATCATGCGTTTTCATTCAGGTACATGTGCATGCACGCAGAATCGTGTTTTTATTTTTTAAATAAATGATATATTTTTGATTTGTGCATCAGTGTATCAGTGAGTCTCAGTATCTTTTTTTTGTTGCTTTTCTCTCACTACCCACTCACCCTGTTAGACTCTGACCTTAATGTGTCACTCATCCTAGCACCTGCATGTAGGCAAGGCTGCCCTACTATGATAGTTTTGATCTGACAAGAATTGACTTACACTTGATTTAATCCAAGTTGTCTCTATAGAGTCTGCTGTGGTACCAGTCTGTTTCGCCGCTTAGGTCAAGGCCTTGTGACAGCGGCTGTCAGTCCGCTCTGCAACTGCATGTGTGAAAAGAAATAAAAGCTGCCGAAAATGCTGGATGGAAATAAGAGAACTCATGCACGCCTGGCTAATGGCTCATCTCCCTCATAGACAACAATGGGGCTCAAGAGTTGCGAGTTCGCTTTGTAATTGGAAGGTTGCCGGTTCGAGCCCCAGCTCGAACAGTCTCGGTCGTTTTGTCCTTGGGCAAGACACTTCACCTGTTGCCAGTGTTGGGAAGGTTACTTTTAAAATGTATTCCATTACAGATTACAGAATACATGCCCCAAAATGTATTCTGTAACGTATTCCGTTACGTTACTCAATGAGAGTAACGTATTCTGAATACTTTGGATTACTTAATATATTATCATGCTGTTTACAACTACATGAATGTGCTATTGTTGTGATTTATTATGGTTACTGAAGGTCCGCGGCTCCGAACTGTAGTAAAGGGACCTCTGGCTAATACGGTGGGTTCTGTGTCGGGCTCGTAGCCGAAAACTAGCTTTACTTTGTTGTCTGGGTCAACTTTTCTTGCGAGAGACAGAGAGAGGCGTTGAAAGGCTGCTCCAACTTAACTTATTGTTTTTGGAGGAAAATACGAACACGGTGTACAGTCGAGTCTTAATAGCTTACTTACAACTGGGCTCGTCAGGCACTCTTCTTGGCTGCAGTGGTTATTATTATATTTACATGCTTCCAGCTCCCGTTTTTGCTTGATGACAGCTCGTACTTTTCCTTTTTCTCCCTCCCTCGCTCACAGACACATAACGGGTATGGCAGTCCATTCTCCCTGCAGCACGGACTACACTGCCTATGATGCTACATTCTTTAGAGCTATACCGGTAGCATTCTGCCTATTAGCTTAGCACAACAACAACAAAAAGGCCTCTCTCACCCAGGAAACACGCAGAGAGAGAGCGTCACCCTGTAACCATGGCAACTGTAATGCTGCCACCTGGAACAACAGAACGTAGCTGTCAAACAAAACCGAAACAGTCCTGACCCGCCACAATATGAAACAGGAAAGTACCGCAGTGTAATCCATTTATTTCAACAAAGTAACTGTATTCTAAATATCACCTTTTTAAACGGTAACTGTAACGGAATACAGTTACTCATATTTTGTCATTTAAATACGTAACGGCGGTACATGTATTCCGTTACTCCCCAACACTGCCCGTTGCCTACTGGTGGTGGTCAGAGGGTCTGGTGGCACCAGTGTCCGGCAGCCTCGCCTCTGTCAGATGTGGATGTGTAAAGTGCAGTGTTGGGGAGTAACGGAATACATGTACCGCCGTTACATATTAAAATACAAAATATGAGTAACTGTATTCCGTTACAGTTACCGTTTAAAAAGGTGATATTTAGAATATAGTTACTTTGTTGAAATAAATGGATTACACTGCGGTACTTTCCTGTTTCATTTTGTCGCGGGTCAGGACTGTTTGGGTTTTGTTTGACAGCTACGTTCTGTTGTTCCAGGCGGCAGCGTTACGGTTGCCATGGTTACAGGGCGACGCTCTCTCTCTCTCTCTTTCTGCCACTGTGTGTTTCCTGGGTGAGAGAGCGCCTTTTCGTTGTTGATGTTGTTGTGCTAAGCTAACAGGCAGAATGCTACAAGCATAGCTCAAAAGAATGTAGCATCATGGGCAGTGTAGTCCGTGTTGCAGGGAGAATGGACTGCCATACACGTTAT